TTTTAAAAATTAAAGGGAGAACCCTATCAATAGTTGTTAGATGGGGTGGGGGTGGGGAGATACACTCTCAAATTACTAAAAGAATGATAGTTTGTTCATTACTTCATTCTACTTTGATTAATCGAAGAATTTTTTTAATCTCGAGGATCAAGAATGATAGTGCAAACAAAAAAAAGGAAATACAAAAACATATCTTTCCTCAAATGCAACCACTGTTTAAAAAAATTAAAATAAAAAAGCACACTCTCCCATTTACTGTTAAGCACAACATCTAACAAACATAATTTTATTTATTTATTTTTTGGATTTATATCCCGCCCTCCCTGCGAACATACACTCTCTCATATTATAATTTCACCACATAATATTGTATTTGTTAAACCAGTTTGCAAATACTGAGTTTTTGTTAACGTATGTAACTCAGCTCCTGTAACCTGGTCAAATGGCGTACAGGGCTTCTAACTTATTTCAAAATCTTGATCAAAAGCAGGGGGGGAAAAGTTGTCCTATACTGAGTAATTGGCATAGCTAGGAGGAGCTAAAGTGTTCAAGAGGTGGAGGTCCTCAGACATCAGCAAAGAGCTTTGTAGTACAGAGAGTCCAACTCGACTGTGCAACTGAACAACAAAAAGTACAGGTATAACAGAGTGCAAGCATTATCAGTGAAAAGGTGTTGCAGAAGCAGTTACAATTGCACTAATAAACATAATGGAAACTGCAAGAAGTTATTTCTTATACATTTTGATCTAGGCATACGTGGTGATGGGGGTAGCCTGAGTATGTTTTGACATAACCAAAGTCTTTGACTTCTTGAAGCAGTAACTCTGAATGAGGGCTCTGGACATTTTTAATTGTCGTTTCTTCTCTTCCTATACCCCTCTTTAAAACATAAAAAATGGTCCAACCAGCCCAACCAGCCAAGCAGGCCTGTCTCTCCCCCTGCGGACACCTCCTGCAGCCGAGAAGTTCATTAAGTTTTATGATCTCCCCAAGTCAGTCCTGCTTATAAGCCTCACAAAGGCCACAAATCTGGCAAGACATCATGTATGCCATTAGGAGTTACTAGTGAATGAATGCAATTCAGGGTTGTAGTGGCATTAAATTAAGGTTTGGTTGGCAGCTGTCATATTTGACTCTTTTTTAAAAAGAGACACACACACAATTTTCTCTTTCACTCATACATGCACATCCATATTCACGTGGAAAAAATTAGAATGTACAGCTTATGTATCAGTTCAAAACTCCCTCATACAGCAGCCCACAGGGAAAACACAGCAATTCTCTACTCATTTTAGAGACTGTCAGAATTAATATATTTTTGTTTGGAGTTTTAGTTAACTAAATACAAAGTACCTGAAACTGGTGGCTAAGGGTGATCCAGCTATGAACTATGAAGGGACAACAGACAAAATGACATACACACATTAACACAAGCTCACAGGTGAAGAGAAAAACACAAAACATGCAACAGATCAGCTATTCACAAAGCAGACACTTTGGGATGAGTCAGTAAGACAACATACAGATTAATGAAACACACAACAGCACAGCTGAAAGCGATTGCTAGATGACTTCGAAGACCTTATGGCTCATTTCCCCCCTACTCTGGATGAGAGACTACCAAGAAAGACTGAAGGCTGCCATGTGGAAGAAGGCAATGCCAAACCACCCTTGCTTATCTCTTGCCTTGAGCATCCCATGGTTGGGGTCGCCATAAGGCAGTTGTGAGTGAGTCCATGGCAGGCTCTTCTTGCACTGAAATAAGTAAGGTGCTCTTTCAAAAGAGACAGATATTTTGTACTGCTTCCAGGAATAATTTGCAGATATCACATTCAACTTACTTTAGATGGGGAGGGATTAACAGTATCACTCCCATCCCCCCCACCCCCAAAAATTATTTTAATAAATAAGTGCCCTTATCAAATCAGATAGTATAAACCTAAATAGATTATTCCAAACTGAAACACACACTACAAAGGAAAAACAACACCTAATGAATGTCTTAATGAATGGAATGCACCCTCTGACTCTAAAGTAGTAGATTTTTACCCCAAGTCATTTGATAAGCAATGCACTAAATAAAAAACTGTGAGCATGCATGGACGCAGTCACTCATCACTAACTGCACAGAACTCTAGCCACAGAAGTAAACAAAACACAATGAAATACCGCAGTCACCACTACAGTATTAGAACTGCCAGAACAGACTCATCTAAAACTAGTTTTAGGTTTCCTATCCTCACCACTTCCAACCCTTGCTTCTCCATTTTTTTTAAATTATGTAGAGGAAAAACCACCAAAATAATTTTCTTACAGAGGGAGAGGGAAAAAATAGTTTTTGCACACACACACACACCCAAAAAAGTATTAGCATACACCCAGTTGCAGAAGTCTGGAATCAAATCACACAGCAAGGGTGGGGAGAAAGGAGGGAACAGGAACACCACTTCTTGAAATACAACCCACAGTCTTTATCCTGGAAGTTTAGAGCTCACATGAAGATAGACGAGGCAATATATTATGTACAAGTTTCCCCATGCAGAGCAAAACAAAGGTGGGGGGGGGGAGTCATAAGAATGATCAGGCCATTGAAATGAAGGGTGGAAGTCACCCACTATTTTCAGAAAGGGACAATGAAATACAAGATATGCAAGAATTTGCCTTCACGCTTCTTTTGCTAATGCATGCTCGGCCATTTCATCTCAGATGGGCAATCCTGAATGAGGGCTGTCCTATAAAAACTCTTGAGGGTGGTGAGGGTTGGAAGGGTGATGCGGTTTTTCTTCCATCAGTCATTCAGCACATCAATCTCACGGGTAGGATTTTGCCTCTGGCCAGATGGACAAGCCCACCCTTTGTTGTGCCTAACTGTTCCACAGAAAATACAACCTGGGGGCAACAAAACAGCATTTGGGATAATGACCAGAATCACCAAATCACACTCAATCCTTGACAGCTGTCAGTATCTCTTTCCTCCTGAGGAAGCCATAGTCCTTGTGAACACCCTCCACCAGAATTCCTCAGTCCTGAAAAGACTTTCTCACTTCTTGACTCACCTTTGACACACGGGTGACTAGACGTCCCTTCAAATAGGGAGGTCTTAGCTGCTGGCAAATAAAGGATCACAGGCACCAATGCCTGCTGCTCTGAAATCTGTCTGCTGCAGAACATCAAAGACAGTCGGCTCAAAAGCTGGCTTCCCAACAAAGTTTTAGAAATAAATAAAATGAATACAAAGCAAATGGGGGGGAGAATATACAAGGCGAGATCCATTTTCATTTGCACAATGCAATTGATAATGCCCCCAATATTCCACTGTCAGCAGAGAACAGAAGCAACTTCCCAGCAACAAAAAACCCAATCTCAATGAATACAAATGTATTGAGAACTATGGCTTTTCTGCTTCTACTTATTAAGACAGAAATGCTTACTATATTAGTTTATAAATGCTTAGATCTCATTTTCCCTTCCCTCTACAACTAGCACTCTGTTAGTTTAGTTTTCAGGTGTTAGCTACCCAAATATACAGATAAATAATTTCTTGGCCTCCAGGGCAAGCTCTCCTGTTGCACAAAACATTCTATGCAGTCATGGAAGGTTTATTATCAAGGGCTTCTCATTCCTCTCTGTCCTCTACCATTCCATCCCGATAATGTAACTATGTCTTTATATGAACACGAGTGCTATGGGACAGGTAAGAAAACTTTTTAAAATCAGAAATCATCAAATCAAGAATCTGATATACTGCCTTTAAAGTCAGTTTAATAGCAATGTTTTAAAAGGACTGTTATGCAGTCAATAAAGTAAAATTTTGCTATTCTTCCTACACACGAGCAGAAGTAACCCATCACCACTAGCTCCTGGCCCAAATCTATGGACTCTGCTTTCAAAAAAAATGCTCTCAACATTCCTACATTTCCATATTGATTCTAAAGCCAAAGAGAATGGTTTCTTTAGCCAAGGCAACCCTTACAACATTGACTGGGCTTCCTGGCACCTAAGCAGTTGAATGAATAAAAGTTTTGTAAGGCATATGAAAGCAATGCCAGTTAAGAACTACTGTAAGGAGCTAAGTGCTCCTAATTACAACACAAAGATCATTCCTGATGGTGTACTTTTAGCCTTCAGGTTTAAGAGCTCTTGAGACTGATTTTTCCCCCCTTTAAAGATGTTTGTACCATGTGAACCCGCTTGCTAGGGAAAGTATTTGGGTTTTTTCCCCACTGCATCCTGTATGAATGCATGTTACCAAATTGCTCCTTCCTGATAGCCTTGGATTTGGAAGATGCATTCTTCAGATTATTTATTCCCCTCCCCCCAATATGTAACCTTTGTTTCCCAGAAGGAATTTTCAGGCAAGTACTGATAACCATGTGTAAACCACCCCCGCAAGATGAAGATGTGCTGAAGACAAAAACTGTCCCCACAGCATTTCTAAAGATCAGTCATTTACCCCCTACAATACATAGGCACTCAAAGCCATTGACTGAGAATCCCTCCAGTTACACATCTACTGGCAACTTCCAAGATCAACAGAAGAGCAGCCCAAGAAAGTTGCCAGCTCTGCTGGGCTCAGAGGGGCTGCTTTCTGCAATAGGCTTCTCCAGTCCCTTGCATCGCTTCTTTAAGAACCTGACACTCAAACAAGGCAGGGGAGGAGGGGAAGAGAAAGAGAAAGCCTGGGGTCCTCGCTGCTGTTTTCTTTCGATCACAGCCAGAGGGAGAATTAACCCTGAACAGGGACACACGATCGCATTTTGTGTGTCATTGTGTGCGGGATTATGAATTGTAAAGAAATTCCCTCCTTACATTCTCCCCTGCCTCCCAACCCAAAGATCAGAGACAGACAAGGAGGCGATGATCAAAGATGGCTGCGGTTCCTAAAGCAGCTCTCCTATTCCTCGCTTAGAGAAGTATATTGCAATATTTACCTATGGAGGGGGAGAAGAGAGGGGAGAAGGGGCTTATTTTTAAGAGCTGTATAACTTGTGGTGTCCTACCTGTTTTCTCTTTGATTTCACAGAGGACACTAAACAAAGCAGGCTTCATTCTGTGGCAGTTCAATGCATGCTTTCTGCAAAATAAAGATAAACAGAGAGAGAGAGACACAAAAAGAGTATTAGAACAGGCTATTTGACAACAAGAAGCCTTTTCTGTTATGGAAAAAAAATCATTCTAATGGGGGAGGGCCTTTATTCTTTGTGTTGTGATCTGTGTCACGGAGTAAGCAGTTAAGACAGCGATTAGCAATAAGGAATAGGGATAACGCTAGACTCTCTTAGGCACCCAGCAACAGGAGTAATTGCACTGTAGACAGACTACCTCCATTAAGGAGAAAGGGGTTTGAACTTAAACATTAGAGAAGTAAACTGGGTGCTAGGGGGAGGGGACGGGATCCACTGCCTCCTTGCTCATCAGTAAAGAGCGGAGTGACAAGAAGACACCCAGCCAACTCCAGCTGCCCTGCCTGCTTACCTGCCACTCGCAGCCTAGAAGCGATACCCAAGTGTTTTTGTTTGTTTTTGCTTCCAGATATTGGGGGGGGGGGGTTTAAACAACGAGGAACCTCATGTGAAAATTTCCTGCCATTTCTTGGGCACATAAATCACTGCTTGTCAAAGCTTTCCAATCCGCTACATCATCATCACTGATTTATGAAGGGGAGAGGGGGAACTTCCAGAGTTCAACTACACGCTTTGTTTTGTATTTACTTAGATTTAGAAAGGGGGAGGGGGGGAAGAAAGACACCAAAGTCACTCCCGACCCAACAATGTTTTGTCAGCTCTTATCAATCTAACTCTATCAGCACTTTAGGGACAAGGAATGCAGAGAAGTTATTAAAAATCACTTCTTTGCAGGAAATTCAAAGCCTCCCCAAGATGGGACTGCATGCTAGTCCTTTCTCCCTACTTCTGAACACCAGGTACCAATGTTTGGAGGCATTCAGAAAGGGTGGGTGTGGGAAAATAATTAGCAAAAGCCTAGATACAGCGTTAATACAATAAAATGGAAAGGGGGGGGGGTCACACATGCCTTTCTTTCCTGTTCAGACCAACTCTGACTGTTGCCCCTGGCTCCAACGCTTCTACAATTTTTCCTCCAGTATTCTGAGGCTCCCTTAATTGCAAGAATCTTTGGTCCCTACCGTGAAAAAGACAGGAAGGCTAGAAATAATTTATTTTAAATACTCCGCATATAAACAACACACACAGAGGAGCGCACAAGGCACACACACAGCCAGACTCACAGACACCACAAGGTGGGGGGGGGGGTTAATTAGACGGAACCAACTTTGCTTGCGCCTCATCCAAGCTCTGGTCCGTGATGGTCATGATCTGGTGCAGGATGTCTCCTATGTCTTGCTTTCGGCCGTCGCCGTCTGCCCCTTCGTGTCCGTGGGGAGGAGGCAGAGCCATGCCCCCCTGCACCGAGTGGCCAGCCAGGTTCACGCCGGCCAGAGTCTGCAACATCCTGGACTGCTCATCCATACCTCCTTCCGCAGCCCAATCAATGCACTTTTAGAGACGAGCAGCAGCAAGCGGCGGCAGGAGCAGAAGAAACGGTACGGCGAAGGAGGAGGAGAAAAAAAGAAAGGGAAAAAATTATAAGCGCTTCGCGATCAGAAGGTGGTTTTGTGCTGGGGGAGCGGGGGAGAGAAAACGCAAGTAAAATCGCTGGGTCTTGTAATGGATTTCAGTTCCTGTTCTTGAGGGGAATAAAGGGGGGGAAGATATCAGTGTTTTGATATTTGACCGGATCTCCGTTGTTTATTCCACACTCTTCTGCTTTCCAAAGCAGTAAATCAATCTCTTCTTTAGTTACAATCTTCTTTCATCATCATATTTGTGGCTCGGACAAACGGCCTTGATAAGGTGTCGGCAGTTTTCTTTCCTTGGTACAATCTTCATCCAAAGCTTTTATTATTTCCTTTTGGGGGGTGGGGAGATGGAGAAAAAAAGTTAGTTGCTTGTTTATGTCCTTTATTTACTTGTCTTTTTTCCCCTAAAAACCCTCTTCTTGGAAGAAAGAGGGGGAAACGGTACAAAAAAGTAAAAAGAAAAGAAAAACAAGCTTGCTTTCAAATCCTTAAAAAAGTTACGAGTGTGGCACAAGATAGGGAATTTAAAAAATCCCGCATACAAATCAAGCCCCTAATGGCAACATTTAAAGGAAAAAAATCGAAGCCAAGAAAATACAACCAGAGGGGGGAAAATAATTGCCCTTTCCTCCCTCGGAAAAAAATCATAACAAACCGATCCCAATGTCTGTACAATAGGGGGGATAAAATAGCAGCAAAAGTTTAAACTTGTGCAAAACAAAAAGAGCGGATTTTTTAAGGGGGGAAAGTTTTTTTAAAAAAAACACACAGAAAAATATTAATTACACCCTCTCTTGCAAAAAAGCAACGTGCAAAAATATCAGCCAGCTGGAATTTATGAGCCCAGCAGCTCAGTGACTGTGTGTGTTTTATGTTGTTTGATGGCCGCTTTGGTGAGGGATTGACAGTCTGCCAATGCCACTCACTCACCCTGCAGACGTGTCACCCTGTGAAGGAGGAGAGAAGCCGAGAGAGAGACTAGAGGGGACGTGGGAGCCAGCCGGAGCCACGCCCCCTCCCCTCCGGAGAAAGAGGAGGACGAGCAGCCCGCCGAAGCACCGCCCCGCCAGCCAGCCCTCCCCGGGCTTGAAGTCCCGCCCCGTGGAACTTCTGCCTGCCACGGACTCCCAGAGCCCCTCCCCTCCCGCAAATCAACACGGATTCCAGCCGGGATTCGCAAGTTTCGGGGGGGGGGGTGGAGAGACGCAGCAACAAACCACTACTCACTCCCCCCCCCGGATCCCAGGGGTCTTTACTTAGCAGTAAGGCCCCCTGGATCAATGGGATTGCTCACAGGGGACTGTACACAGCACGGCAGCTAGAACATCCCTCGTTGGCACCTCTCTGGAGTCAACTTTCCTCGTTCTCCGCGCTGACTGGCTTGACAGCGGCGCCCGGACCTCGCTTCGGTCCACACGCGCGCTTCCTCAACCCCCCCCCCCCACAACCCGGGCCTGTCCGCTTGCCAACCTCCTGCCCCGACAGGGGAAACCGACACCCCTCCCCCCAGTCGCCACGCTGCCTTACTGGTTGTTCCGAAAGGGAGGGATGCCCCCCCCAGGAGTAGAAGTTGGCAGCCCTGATTCCTGCCCCTCCCCCACCCCTTGAGCCTCTGTTGCCGCTCTCCTCGGACAACCCCCCCTTTCCCCTCCAACCTCTCCCTCTATTTCACGTCGCCCCTCTCCCCAGCCACACTCATTACGCTGTCTTCTTACCCACCGCCCCCCCCCCCCTTTCATTCCTTTCCACAGCTTCTGGGAAGGGATCATCCGTGACTGATTTTTAGTGCCCCACCATGACGTGAAGAAAGAGGAGGATGAAAATACTGTCAGGAATCACTAAATGTCAATTACTCCACCACCACCCCCGGTCTCTTCACGAGACCTCCTCGCCACAGACTTCCTTGTCACAGAGTTACCCATATTAGACTAGATAAGAGGCATACATCTATGGGGCTACCCTCTCTCCCCCCACATTCTCCTTTCTCTATCCTTTCCTCGCCCCACTTTCTCAAGAGTTGTTTTCCCCTATGCCCCGCCCCGTTATTTCATAGCCCCGCCTCTAAGCCTTCTGGGCCATCCCTGCACCCCACCCCCTTAAGGGGCTCTTGCCCCGCCTCCTGAGCTTCCCGCTCTTTATTTAGCTCCTCCCTATGCAATCGTCCTCTTTGCTTCCTACTTTCTCAGCGCCACGCTCCGCCCCCTCCTGCCCTTTTATTTTGCCTTCGGTCTGAGAGGTGGTTCTTTTTCGCCCCACCCACTTTGGAGGTGTGGTTTATTGTATTGAGCTCTAACTCCTCCTCAAGCTCCCTGTTGCCAGGGGCATCTTAAAGGGAACACTGGGGGGGGGGGGCAGAAGGAAATAAATACGCCCAGATCTCAGCGTGCCGTTTTGCCCCCTGAGGGCGTCTCGCGGGTAGCTGAAGTACGTAGCTCAACCAACTAACAATACATATTCAACTAAATATACACCCCCGCGCGCGCGCGGAGCCGGTGGCCAATCAGAACATAGAACGAGAGAAGGCGACGACGTCCAATTGCAAAGGACGGCTGAAAGGGACCGAAAGGCAACTTCCCAGCGTTCCGGTCTCGGCCCCCTAGCAGCGGAACTTCTGATTGGGGCGTTCGAACGGTCACGTGCTGGGGCGTACGGATGGGCGGAGGAGTCTGCCTCTCCCGGCCTCTGATTATTGCCATGGCAACGGCTAACCTACGGAGAGATGGTGTTGTGGTTGCGGGGAAGGACTCGGCCGAGCTGTCGGTTGGCTTTCCTCGCAACACGTCCCTCGGGATGGCACTTTGCCATGGCAACCTCAAGCCCGTTTACTTTATGCGGAAGGGTCCTATGTATACTTAGACGGAAGTAAACCCTTTTGAACGCAAAACTAAACTCCCAAGGAAGTGTGCTGAGCCCAGTCCGAAGAATGTTTACTCAGAAGTAACAGGGCTTACTCCCCCAAGCAAGTCCAGAATTGTCGTGCAGGAAACTTCTCATAAGTGTAAATTCTGGGTACCTTTTACAGGATGTTTTCTCAGGACACACTTGGAAGCAAACCCCATTGAACAGAGCGAGGCTTACTTCTACGTAACCTTTAGACTTTGTAGTTAGACTGCAAATCTCTGAATGTTTCCTTGGCAATTAATTGCACTGAACTGCATAGAACTTAACTGTAGAGGAAAACATACATAGGATCGAATCGCTTTCCATTTCGAGAAGGCATAATCCATAACGGGACGCAGGGAAAACGCTGGTCTCCAAGTTGCAGATCAGCCAAGCCTAAGTAACGATCGACAGCATTTCGATAGTGCACGTTTTTTTTCATGCTATTTGCATTGTTTTAAACCGTGTAATCCGCCTTGAGTCTCTGTGAGAAAGTAAAATAAATGTAACTGATAACGAGCATTGCTGCTTCACTTTAGGTTTGCCAGCCTCCAGGTGAGACCTGGAGATCTCCCGCTTTTACAACTGCTCTCCAGGTGACAGAGATCAACTTCCCTGGAGAAAATAGCTGCTTTGACAGGTGGACTTTATGGCATTGTACTATGCTGACTCCCCTCCCCAAACCCCACCCTCTCTTGGATCCACCCCCAAAGTCTCCAGGTATTTTCCAACCCAGACCTGGCAACCCTATTTCACTTCCAATAATTCATTTCATTGGGATGATCCAGGAGTCTTGCATATTCCTTTCCTGAGCTTAGTGGAGAATTCATAGAAGCAATCCTTATCTTGGGATACCTCTGTTCTGAAGCAATATCCTCATGATCAGTGTTCCCTCTAAGCTGAGTTAGTGTGAGCCAGCTCACAGTTTTTTAGCCTCCGGCTCACAGATTTTTGTCTTAGCTCAGGAAGGACGGCTCCAGAGCAAACTAATTTATGCAGTAGCCAAATCGCTCACTCACAACTATAAAGCCAGTAGCTCACAAAGTAGAATTTTTGCTCACAAGACTCCACAGCTTAGAGGGAACATTGCTCATGATGTCAGGATTTATGGTAGATTAAAACTCATACGACTCAGGGTAGAAGTGTGAGCTGACAATCTCAAAATTGTCCCTGACTGTTCCTTAGGTTACACATTTCTCCCAACTAACAACCTAATAAAGTTCTCATTTAGGGGGGGGAAATCTGGTTCTCCCATATAAAATTTATTTAACAGCATAGCACCTTGGACTATAACTACTTATGAAAATATTTATATGAACATTCTGTTTACTATTATTTATTAATGCCACATTTAAAAATATTACACTGAAAATTTATTCCATTGCACATTACTAAATAAATTATGCTTGTAATTTCTAATGCATTTTTAATTATGAATTTATCCATGTCTGCCTTTATTTATGATTGGACTGCTCCCTGTTGCAGTGCAGCATATATAATGGTAGACACTCTTAATGAAGCATTCTTGGACACTGCATATGATAAAATGTTCTTAGAGTATTTTATTTCAGGTGGTGTCTGCGTTTTTTATAGGCAATCCAAGAGTGTACTCAGTAACTTTTACCTATTGGCACTTCAGTGTGTCTTTGCTTTCTGGTCAGCTGACTAACAGGAGCGCAAAGGCTCTTACTCAAGAGTAAGTCCAGTGGAGCTTCTGGGTAGACTCACAGGATCAGGCAGGGGCAGCTACAAGTCTTAGCCCACAATCTCTGGCCAAACCCTCAAGTGCTACAGATGTCCCTATCTACCAAGCACAGTCTTATTATCTGGAACCTGCTCCTAATAAATCACTGTCCCTAATTTTTGCCTTTTGGGGAGATTTTTTCCCTATTGTACCCTGTCTTTTTTTTATTAGGCTCAAGGCAGCTAATGATATTTTTTAAATCTGCTACACATTTTAAAGTTCAGCCCAACAAAATTTCTTAGAATACTTCTGCCAAACAAAAATGGCAGTTGCAATTAATTTTATCAAACTGAAAATGCAGTTCAATAAAATGTCCTCAGCCATATTTTACAAGCCCTTCTTAAGGTAAACAGGCTTGCCATGTTGCCCCCCCCCCCAAAAAAAAACCCTGCTGTGTCTTGAAGGGAATACAGTTTCCCTGGTGTTTCGTGATGGCTCCTTTTAAGCAGTTACTTAGGCCATTTTTAGTCTGCCTTTCTCCCCAGAGGACTCAAGGCAAATTAAAAAGATAACTTAAAATATATTCATAATATTTTTATATAGTAAAGATTCAGCAACTAAAATACAAATCCACAGGATCTTAAAAAATCTATGTATCTCATCATCAGCCAGGAATAGTTTTGTAAATAACTCAGAAATATATAATTTATGAAAGTTTAGCAAAGTGACTGGGCTTCCAGAGATAGTCAGGACCGCAATTTCATAGGGAGTGAAACTGCCAACTCTTGAGTCCGGAAATTTGTGGAGATCTGGGCATGGAACCAGGGGAGGGGAGGGTCTGGGGAGGGACCTCAGTGGGGTATATTGCTATAGAGTCCACCATCCAAAGCAGGGAAACTGATCTCTGTAGTCTGGAGAACAGGTGTAATTCTAGGAGATCTAGAGGCCCCAGCTGGAGATTGACAACTGTAACAGCATCTAAAATTTAACGTGGAAACACAAAGGTAGCCAGTGTAACATTTGCAAAAT